ATAGCAAGTATGCTCGCCGCGGCCCGCCGGCCCTCAAGTCTCAGCCTGTCTCCCTCGCACCCACAAGACGCGCTCCACGAGTGCGAGGGAGGCAGAGCGACACGTTTCAGCATGAGCCTGGAGGGCGCGAAGCTGGGAGCAGAAAATTCTTAAATCACGCCCTTAAGCTCAACGGTGAGAGAGCCTGACGCCCTGGCCGCCCAGGCCGCCTCTGTGTTTCGTATCACAGATTGGCCCTCCCCCTTTCTTAATAGCATTTAGCCTGTGAATAACCTGGCCGCCCGCTCTCCGAGGGCTTATTTTCGCAGCGCCAAAGATCGCGTAAACCTAATGTGCTAAAACGATTAGGCCCCGGGCGAAATATTCACCTGGAGCGTTTGGGGAGGCGGGGGTTCGTAGAGTTGGCCCTTCGCCCCGGATTTGGACGGAGAGCTGCGGTGGATGCGTCATGACGTTTTACCCTCCGGCATCTTTGATCCTTTTCCTTTTCTTATCTCTTATTCGCTTCCTTGTTCCGCTCTCTCGTTAGGCCAGTTATTTCGGTCTCCTCCTCCAACTCCATCCCTCCTCCCCCAGTCGAGCAACTTGCGGTATTTCACAAGGGTGCCCGCTTCTCCCCTTCCGATGGCGAAACCGCGCCGTGCGGGCCGAAGTCACCCACCCTGTTTTCACGCTTGGCCCCTCCAGATCGCTCCTCCTCTCTTTGAGATCAAATTAATATAATGGAGAAGGCCAGGCGGCCTGGTGCTAGTCCTCCAAGGCGTCCTCCAGGCCTCCCCCTTTCCATTCGGGGAAAAGGGGGAGGGATTCAAGCGGGTCCATTCTCAAAATTCGCATGTGGCGGTATGCAGTAATAAGCATGCAGGAATTACGTAACAGCACGCAGTGTTCGGTATCTGTGTTTCCCTCGCACCCCTTCGAAATACGAGCCATGATTGCGAGAGCGACGGCATCATCAGTCTGCAGCAAGGCGGTTTCGGGTATTTGAGCCACCCGGTGCGGGTCGTGAAAACACCTGACACCACTGTAAGGCCTTACGTCATTCCGTGGCGGTTCGTGCCGCGCGGTCGCGCCCCGCAGATTGGCCGCAAGAAAAATCACCCGGCGTCGGCGGATTGCTTATCACCGTGGTTAGCGTTACCTGGCTGACCCTAACTCGCCGCTAATGAGAGAAAATGACAGTGTGGGTCCGCGGCGTTTCTCGCCTTGGGACCCGGTTTCGGTTTCGGCGTCGAAATGCCAGACGCGCGTATTATTGACGTGTGGGAGAGAGTGAGGAACAGGGCGGCGCACTGACTCTTGACACGCGAGCCCCCCGCACCCCTGGGGTCCCCTGCACCTTACACGCGCTATCAATTACAGATTAGATTCCCAGCTGGGGCGATACCACGCATTGCGGCGTGGTCTCCGGGAAATTTGTCTTTTTTGCTGTTGGCTTTCTTCCACCTTTTTCGTTTGTTTTCCTCAGGTTTTACTTCTAAGGCCGCTAAAAAGGCCACGAACTGGAAGTAACATTTTCTGTGTTAACTGAGGAATTCGCTTATAGTTTTTCTCCCGTGCTATTATTTTGCCCTGTTTTTTTTAAATGATTTCTGCCTTTCGCTTTTTGGGCCTTTTTTATTCCTTTTCTGTCCGTTTTCAACGCTGGCCAAAAAATGCCGCTGACTTTTGTGTAGGTTCCTAGTGAAAAAAGCGCCATTCGAGTCGTACCTCTGTCTGTATTCCGACTGATTCCCAACAGCCGCCCTCGTTATTTGCGAAACCCTCCATGCGACCGCTGATATGGAGGGATTGACGTACGTGAGAGTTTCCCCCGTTGTTCGCGTCCTTTTCTATCTCTCTTCTGTCTTCGGCGTCCCCGTTGCTGCAAAGTTAGATCCATTGTGTTGCGCACCGGATTGCGGGGGGCGGAAGGTAAAACTGCGTGCGTAGTGCGGTGCGGGTTCGACTCCCCTTGGGTGCCGCTTTTTTTGCCTTTGTTTCTCGGGGCCTAATGCGTCTGTCACGGCCATACAGCGTTTTTCTGGCAGTGCAGTCTCAGTGCCGCGAACGCAGCGCTGCCCGCGGCGGGGAAGGTCAGAGAAAAATGAAAATCTCCTTCCATTCCGCGAATTTCATCTCAGCCTGTGTACCGCAGCGGCCTTGGAAAAGCGAGGGGGGAAATTTTCTCCGGCCGGCAACGCCACCTGCCGTCCCGCCGCGGCGAAAAATGGAATCAGAGGAAAATGGCGGCGTGAAGGCGGAGATCGACATCTCTTTACGTGAGCCGAAACCGGGACGACGTCCGCATGTCAGCGCCTCCAACGCCTCGAGCAAATAGTCGCGTTTGCCAATGAGATTGGCAGCATGTTGTCAGCCGGCGCGCTCGCGCACGGACGCACCCTGAATATTTATTTCAGATTTCGCATATTTTTTTGCCCTTCCTTTTTTTGTGTGCGCGCCATTGTGATGACATTTTATCGTTGTTCTTTTCTGCCCATCAGTCATTTTAGGCTCGCTGTACCCTGCGCCGCCACCAAAAAGGGGACTTGAAAAAAAACTACAATTTTATGGACGTTATTTAGAACGAAATATGCATTTTGGATCATTTCAGCTGGTGGGTTGAATGTCACGAACGCCTAATCCTGAACTGCAAAATCGCCTCACTGCGCAGAAAGCTAAACTTAACCTCTCTGACCGCTCTGCGTCCATATTTCTCTGGTATCATCAGGAAAGAAGTGGCAGGAGAGGGGATGACCCGCCCGCATGGCCCTGTTGCGTTGTTGAGGGGAAAGGGGGCGGCGGAGGGGGCAAGTCACAGGCTTTGGCCTGGATTTAGGATAGCCCTTGACGGCGCTGCAATCTCACTGCCAGGCGCGGGGAAGATCCACGCATCCAGGGACCGCGACGGGGTCGGTTACGTCCTTGTGGACGGACTCGGCGACGGAGTCTGCCTGCATCCGGGCCGCCAAGAACCCGGACGCGAGCCGGACCGGGGAGATAGCAGCGAGGAAACAGGGTGCGATGAGGGGACGATAATTAGCGAATTCGGAGAGGGGAGGAGAGGGAGTTGAAGGCAGAAAATAAGGAGACGCTGGGCGGACGCTTTGCAGCGAGTTTTACGATGGTCGAGGCAGAGGCTGGAATCAGAAGTCCTTGGTCCTCAGATATTCTTCGTGCTTCAACTAATTGGAGTGGAATCACAAACTCAAAATGCACATTGGTTGGCGCCCCGCTCAACGTCTTCTGCTCTGCCAGTTTCAGTCCTCACTCCGAGATGATCCGTCATACCTCTGGGTATATTTTCAATCGGTGAAATCAATTCTGTAAAAATCTCAATTGGCTTTTTCTAGTGGGTTCCGTCTTACGCGAGAGGAGGTCCTGAATAGAAACGTGGCCGACAGTGGGGGAAGGTGCGCTGTCCCGACCCTCGACCGCCCCCGGAGTGGAGCCAGCCGGCGACCGGATGGTGGTCCAAGTAATTAGAAGATACAAGTAAGCGTACTTTATCAAGACGTTGGGGCCCAGGACGCCCCCGCCCCCTTTCCTCCGGGGGGTTCCTGGCGGCACGCGATGTTCGGTGGGGACGTCGATGTGGGATCTAATCTACGGTATGGTTTTCCGGGTCGGCGCACCGATCCGGGTCACGCCGTTTAAGTGCATTCTGACCCCTGTAAAGATTGATGAGAGAGCCTCCAGGTGGCTTCCACGCTGCGTCGTTCTGTCTCTAGCGCACCCCTCCGCGACACCCCACGAGCGCGAGAGGGACGGGAAAGCGCTCGGGAAACAACCTGCGGCTCGGATTCCAGCGACGTAAGGTGGCCATGCGCGCGCCTCTGGTTTTGGCTGAATAATTAAAAGCTGGAGCCAGGTCCGCGGTTTGCTAAGCCTTTCCCACCTGGACGAACCTAATCAGGTATCCCGGCTGTCGCTGCTTGCGGTGCTTGCGGTGCTTGCGGTGTGGTCGGGGTTAATGCTGCTACAGTTAGGTGCGTCCGACTACGCAGACCCGCCACAACGAGATTTACATAGCACCGCTCTTGGAATTTTACTGCCCGCTTCCTGCGGATTCCAGCGGCTGAAGGCGGTTGTCCTGGAATTAAGGACCTCGTGTGTGCTGTGGCCTCTAGTGCGGGGCAAGGCAAAGGCGGGTTGAGGTCAGCGAACAAAGGGGCCGGTTGAAACTTTGAAGAGTTCCGCGAAAGGTGGGGGTTGTTAACATTGTGCATGCGAGTTTCGGGAATTGCGGAAGTGACTGGACTGAACGACTTGGCGCACTCGTGGAAGACACACTGTGCTGTGAAAATTTTGACTTCTATATTTTGATACAAATCAACGGAATTTTCCGTATGAGATGAGTTGGAGGCTACCGAGGTCGCCAATGCGATTAGGGTTTGACGTGATAGCTCTCCGTATGGAGTGCACTCTTGAGTGCACTTGCCTTGTGTGTTCAAGTCGAAACCGGATCAACGTTGCGGGTGCAGTGTTTCTGGGCAATGTTTGCGAGACGGTCTTCTGGCCGGTCCCCTTACGACCGCTGCGGCTCCTCCACGATGGATGGCGAGGTGCTGGGGCGGAACCACACCGCAAGGCTCGGCAAGGCGTCGGACGGGAAGGTCTCCAAGTCAGAGACCCTTCCCTCGTCCCTCCGACCCGCAGGGCCGAAGGGCTGCGGGGCCCGGCGGCCGAAACGGCCCGGCAGGCAACCCTCGCTACCCGACCCGAACTAACTCTGGCGGGTCCCATCGTGGGCCTCAGCCCGCTTCAGCCCGCTTCAGCTGGCCCCGGAAGTTATTTGTTCTGCCCGAAGTTATCGTCGGTCGAGATATCGGAACCTGCGGACCGGGCTGTGACGTCACGAGACCTGGCGTCAAAGGACCACGCAGTGCGCGAGTCCGTGATCCTGTCGACGAAGTGGCTCTGTTTGCACACGCAAGACCCTAAAGTTGGGGAAATCGTTGACCAGCTGAGGACCCCCTAAAGTTGACGAGCGCTAATGTCTGTCTCTCTGTTTGTCGCAGCATGGAGCAGCAACCGGATGCGGACTACATCAAGATGTTCGTGGGCCAGCTGCCGCGGTCCATGGACGAGGCGGACCTCACCAGGCTGTTCGAAGAGTTCGGTCGAGTGCACCAAATCAACGTCCTCAGGGACAAGGTCACGGGGCAGAGTAAAGGTGAGTGTGTCTGGAGGACGGAGCCTTGACAGCGAGCGGAGCGAGTTCGTTTTCCCATGACTGTGTCAGCATCCTTGGCAGTGTCAGTGGGCCTTCCGGCCACGGCCTCGGCAGCAAGACAAAGCTCTCCCCCCGTCTCTCTCCGACTCGCTGGCGGCCCGACGGTGCGACGGAGATGGGGGACGCTGCCGTTAAAGACTCCACTGTCCCCCTCAGAGTTATGAAGATGGCTCCATTAGGGATGCATATTTTCGGCCGGAGGGAAAGAAGGGGGTGGGGGCCGGCCAACACGTTGCACACTTCCCTAAGCAGAAGCAACAAATTTCCCATCTTGTCTTGTTGTCTTGCCCCACTCCCTGCCTCATTCTCTTCAGCCGATGTCTCCGCGCGTAATAGGGTCGAGAAAACGAGCAGACAAACGGACGGACAGACAGACAGATGAAAGGCTGAGCGGAAAGGGAGATGCAGTAGATAGGGTGAAAGGGTGGGGAAAGGGTATGAATAGGGGCGGTGAGCGGCAGCGGTACGTTCGACCGGTGTAGGTTTGCAGCTCAGCGCGCTGGTTCCACTCCGTCTCTGTCGCACTCATGGGGCGTCCCGCATTGGCGCGAGGGAGACAGAACCGACGCTTCGGAACCAGTCGGCTGCTGGGGATAATAGCTGTCTCGCAATCTATTCTCACAGACGACTTGCCTCGCGGCGCTCCGCCGGGGGACTGCCCCGGTGGCGTAGCCTCGCGCGATGAGTCTAATCCGCCCGTGATGCATAGCTATCCGTTTTAAAATGAAGCAGCTCGTCACGGCTCCGTCGTTGTGACGCCGTGAACGCTGAGGGACCGTCCATAAAAGCGGAACGGACTAAGAGCCCCTTTACCGCCGCGCGCGACGGGAGCGACCCACCTAACCTAACTTTGCCATGCATTGCAGATGGGGCCGCGGTGATCCGCACAGGGAGACCATCCCCCTTAAATTGGTCACGGGTTCCAAGTGCTACTCACGCCTGGCCTCCTTACTTCCTTGGAAGATGTTTTCGTAGGGAACATGTCAAAGCGCAGCAAGTCGAGGGGGTTTTGAATATCTTCGTTGTTGTACATCAATTTTTATGGTTGCGTAGTGCTGCTTTTGGAAAATTATTTTCATTACAAACTTACTATTTCAGACTAAAAGTTGCTTTTATTTTGCACACTTTTCCGGCAGTGTATATCGTGCCAGCCTGCCCACCCTTTCCGGCCGAAAGGTGAAGAAGTCCTCGCGGAGCCACTATGCAGATTGATGGAACTTCACTGGGCCCACAATGTAGCGCCGGTGGCAGGTGCTCGCTTCAGCGTGCATGGGTGTGAGTGCTTGTGTGTGTGTGTGTGTGTTTGTTTGTGTGTGTGCGCGCGCGTGTGTGTGTGCGTGAATTGGAGAATGAAAGCTGCTGTAAACGGTTTTACGGGGCGGCCGTGCAGGCAGGCCTAGGAGGCACTCGAGAGAGGACGTGAGCAGCGGCGCAGGTGGAAGCTCTGGAACAGATTTTCACAAAACAGAAAATATAATTGACAGATGTGACAAATTCTGTTGCTTACCTTTTTTGGCGAGGTCGATCTATTTATCTATTCCTCTATGTGTATGCATGCGTGTGCCTCGCTACCGCTGCATAGTTATTCTGTATTCACTGGAGGAGCGAGTATGGCAAACACACCGTGCGTGTACGCCTCTGTGTGTGTGTGTGTGTGTGTGTGTGTGTGTGTGTGTGTGTGTGTTGCGCGCTTACTCCATTCCCGCGCTGCCTGATGGTAATAGGCGCCATGACTCATTCCAAAATGAAAGCAACGAGGGTTATTCTCAGAATTAGGCTCGTCTAGCACCACCTATAGGTACGCCTCTAGCTGCGCCTCAAGCTACGCCTCAAGCTACGCCTCTAGCCACGCCTCTAGCTACGCCTCTAGCTACGCCTCTCGCTACGCCCCTAGCTACGCCTCTAGCTGCGCCTCTAGCTACGCCTCTCGCTACGCCTCTAGCTACGCCTCGACGTGCAAATGGCAGGCCTTTTTCTCGCCTGGGGCATGGTGGAGTGCTCGAGGTGCGCGCGTCATTACCGAGTGTCACTTTTAGGACGCCATTCGAATTTGGCGCGCTGCGGGGCTGCGGAGTGGGGCTCTTTGGCGCGCAGCGGGGCGGGGCGGCGCGGGGCGGCATTGGCTCCATAAAACTGGGAGTAGTGCGTATATATTCGGTGAGGGGGTGGGGTGGACCGGCGGCACGGCGCAAGGGTTGTGCGTCAGGTGAGGCTAATGGACCGACCGGACGCAACAAGGGTCAAGACCGTCCCGTCCGAACTGTGTCCCTGAAGGTCCCTGGCGCTCGGCCCGCAGGGTGGCGCTTTTCGGAAGCAACCGGGTGCCACCTGGCGGCGCCCGGCGGCAGCGCCCTCCTAGAACACCCCTGCGGCCCTGCGGGGTGAAGGGTCCGCTAAGTGTGAGTACTGACCCTTTTTTGGGCGAAAGTATGGTTCGGGGTCGCGGCGAGGGGAGTGCGGTGTGAGGGTGGGGCTTTTAGCCAAAACGGGGCGGGGCAAGGCGGCCCGTTTCGGAGACAACCGGTTTGACACCGTCGGGTGGCACTTCGCACGGCCGGTTGGAGGAGGACTCTTGGTACCGCGCTGCTCCAGGATTGAACACAGCGGCCACCTGCTGTCAGCCCGAGCCACGACCTCCTGTCACGTGTGTCGCCGTTTTGACTAACTTGGCTGCAAGACTGCTCCGCAAACCAAGGCAGGAAATCGCACTCCGTGACAGATAAAACGCGATAAAAAGGACGATCTGTGGTTCTTGTCCCATACCCGCCCCGTCCGAAAATCGAACGCCCATCTAACAACGTTGGCGGACTTTTTCTGCAAGCAAGTTCCCCCGTATCGCGCTTGGCGATCTTTCTTTCCGCATTGACGAACGTCGAAAGAGGACGCGACCGTGTTAACATGCCGAGGCAACGTCGTCGTTACACCCGACGAGCAAGAACACTGCAACAGTTTACTACCCTCGTGCCATAACGCTCAGCTTTTTCTTGGCTGTGGAGGGCGTCCCGGTCGTACGGCCCCAGAAGTGCGTCACCCGCTAGCTGCAGCTCCACTGGTGTCAGAGCCTCACCCAGTGGGCCAGAAGACCGGTGGGGGCGGCCCAAGCTGTAGACGCGTTTTGAGCTCTAGAGTCGCTAAATAAGACTCGAACCGGACGTGTGACCCCACCAATAGATTCCTCGTTCGGAGACCTATCCGTTGGTGGGTCCGCACGTACGGTTCGAGTCCCATTTAGCTACTCTGAAGCTCAAAACGCGTCCGGGATTTCGACCGCCTCCGCCGGTCTCCTGGCCCAGGCCGCTCCACTTAAAGACAGTCGCCGGAACGGCAGTGGGGGAAGCCAATGAAAAAAGCCCGTTACATTCCCTAATTACCTCGGAAGCCGCATCGCGTCTTCCAATCGCGGCTCCTTTCCCCTCCGCGCTTTCAATTCGCGGCGCGTTGTGTCGTGATGGACTCCATCACGGAGCCGTCACAAAACTCGCAACAAATTAAATTTCCTCGAAGACGGCGAGGACGGCCAGCCACACCACGGGGTGCGCCGCGAATCACAGGACAAGGCCACAGCGGGCTGAGGGGGCTGTCTCTCTCGCCCCCACGCGGCACGCGCCTCGAGTGCGAGAGAGAGCGAGCGACCGCCCGGAGTCAGTCTGCAGCGGACACGGCCCCCGCAGCGGTGGCACAATATCAACTTCCTTCTCCCTCAAGTTCCTCTCCATCTTCATCCGGGACGACTTCCCCCTGGAGGGCTGGAGCGGGCTGGAGACACCAGGTGGCAGTCGCAGGCCGGCCGCCCTTTATTAATGCCAGCAGGCCGCGCTGGCCGCGCTGCAGGCAGAGAGTCGTTTCCGTCGCTCTGTCTCTCGCGCACTTGGAGTGCGCCGTGAGTGCGGGGGCGACAGAGCGGCGACCCTCGGAATCAGTGTGCTGGCCGCCAGCCACTTAGGCCTCTGGAAGCCGCGTTGCCGCGCGACGCGTGCGTCAGTGTGTCACCCCGCCTGCCCTGCCTGCCCTGCCTGCCCCGCCCCCTCGCCGTGACGACGGACGAGGCCGACGTGACAGCCACGCCTCGACAATGCCGCGCCACGCCAGCCACGCCAGCAACGCTAGCAACGCTTGCAACGCTCTGACCAAGCGGCGGTGAGCGCGGACACTGCCTGTCCTCGTCACGCACGCTCGGTGGGCCAGAAGACCGGTGGGGCCGGCCAAACTCCCGGACGCGTTTCGAGCTCCAGAGTCGCTAAATGGGATTCGAACCGAACGTGTGACCCCACCCATGGATTTCCCTCCGAACGAGGAATCCATTGGTGGGGTCACTCGTTCGGTTCGAGTCCTGGAGCTCAAAACGCGTCTGGAGCTTTGGCCGCCGCCACCGGTCTTCTGGCCCACTGTGCGACGCAACGTGACGCAGGCAGGCGTGTGCATTCAGCACATTCAGCGCATTCAGTGGCTGGTGCGTCGAATGAGCCATCGGTCACTGCACTGACTGCCTCCCCCTCCCCCATTTCCCCTTTGACGCGCCGACGAACCCACCTCACTGCAGAGCTAAGCGAATGTGACAAATGACGGCGATGTCCATTCCACTGCCCCCCTCTTCCCCCCTCTTCCCCCACCGGCGCATTACCGCCTAACCACCTTATCATCTCTCGAGCCATCAATCACACAGCCAATAGGCATCGCGCGTGCGCGTTTTCGAATTGACCAACATTTTGATGGTCAGAACATGTTGCTATGCGATTTGAGTCACAAACTCACCACTATAGTGGTTGAATTTAATTTCATGGCGCTTCAACACGTGCCTGGGACGGCCTCCAGCAGACCACGAAACGCCATTTGACACCACGTGCCACGAATTGACTCGACCGCACTTGGCACGAGGCCGTTTAGAGTAACTAGAGTCACGTCAGATCAAGAAAACACGACCAAATCCAGGAGCGTCGATG